TACACGGAGGGCACATCTTTCTTTGTGGCATTTGGGGTCCAGCTGTAGGACTTTCTCTGTGGCTGCCATGAACAATTCTAAGACTGTTAACAGGAGCTGGTACAACACAAGCCGATCTGCCTGAATCCTATTTGCAAAGCATAATAATGCAAGCCATGGTGCCAAGCATTGTGACAAGATGGCTAGCATTCTCACTGAATCTAGCTTCACAGCGATGAATTGTGTGGCTTGTTTCAGCCCATAGGAGCCAGTCACCCAAGTATGTAAGTATCCTAATCCCTCTGGACATCAGGGTGGAAAAGGCCACTTACATAATACACTCACAAATAACCATGGTTGTTGTTGGTCTTCTTTTAGCTGCTCCCGTTGCCACAGCGGATCATTGGTCCGCATATTCGATTTGGCACAGTTTTTACGCTGGATGCCCTTCCTGATGCAACCCTCCCCTGTTTTATCCAGGCTTTGGGACTGGCACTGGGAGTGCGCTCTCATGTGTTCCCCAGCTGGGAATCAAACCCGGGCCGCAGCGGTGAGAGCGCCGTGGCCTAACCACTAGTCTTCCAGGGACCCTTTGTTTTATTAAAAAAGAAAAAAAACAAAAACTTTGCTGCTTTCCAGTGGCACCTGTGCATCTCTCTCCTCTCTCTCTTTCAGCACACGCACATACACCCACACCCCTCACTAACAGAGAGGCAGACACACACACACACACACACACACACACACACACACACACACACACACACAGCAATAACAGCTTGTTAATATAAACCAACAAATAATCAGAAGGTTTGCCATGTTAATTTCTCATTCCCCCACACTCCTGCTGTAGACTCCTGCTAAACCGCACACGGTAATGTGAATTCATGTAACTGGAAGGCACACCTTGAAAACCTCGAAGGCATCCGTGTTCTTGGACAATGAGGGCATGAAAACACGTGTGCAGATCTATCTACGTGAGCCAGTCCTGTGCTTGTATGGCATAAATCCCATCTGCGATCCTTAGCATATGGAAAGGAAGGGTTTTTAGGAACCAGTTCAGCCCCCTCAAATCTAGAATCGGGTGTTAACCGTGATCTTTCTTCTGAACAGGGTAGTGTTTTATTAGAACAATTTGCTTTGAAAACACAGGATCTGTCTTAAAAGAACAAAGAGCGACAACTTTGTTGGTGTTTTATATTGACAAGGCTCTGAACCCCAAGATAGTTAGGGGTCAGTGATATTGTCTTCAGGTCTCACTGATCTGATGTAGTTGCTGTCCGCGGCTGTAAAGCATCCCTCAGCCCTTCACGTAAGTCACTTGCAATCAACTGTATGAATTTGAATATGCAGACAGGGCCTGTTCCTGAATGAGAAGGCTCTCGTTCATGTAATGTGTACTATTCCGCATTGTTTGCATGTCTGTGAAGCTATTTAGGCAGCATTTCCAACTCTACCCTGAAGGTCCTGTAGTTGTAGTTATGAATAAGCGATAGTTGAGTGTTTAAAGTGACCCACAGTTCACTGTGAGAGCAGACCCGTGCGCACAGTTCTCTCTGAGCGCATTGCCTGTAACTCATCTTAGTTCATTTTATTGTAGACAAAAAAAGCTGGTGTGACACACTTATGCGTGTACAGTTCTCCAATTAAACACACACACACACACACACACACACAAAGAAAAACAGTATGATCACCATTATTGATGGAAATAGATACATCTGATTGTTTGGCTGCAAAGTCACGTTCAAGGTCACAATGGCTATTCTTCCTTCATTCCTTTCTTCCTTCTTTCCACCCTAATTGATTGGTTGGCAGATTAGGAATTTATTAAAGAAAACTACAAATAATACAACAAATTCAAGTAAAAAAGTATCAAAGGTACCTTAGGGATAATAGTTATATTATATACATGGACTTGCCTTTTGTTTTCTAGACAAAATAAAGCTTGAATATAGAGTATATATCAGTACGGTACATGCACAGGCCCTAAGGTTGCTTTGAGCACTAAGTAATCCAGACTGGTGTAAAGTGCAAGGCTGTCACATGGCTTGATGTATGAATGCACACTGAAAGATGTCTCTCGCTACAGGTGTGTGTGGATGTTGTGGGCGGTGTCGTCCCCGCTACAAGCGCTTGGTGGATAACATTTTCCCGGAGGACCCAAAGGTACTACTACCTCAGTGCCACACACACACACACACACACACACACACACACACACACACACACACACACAAACACACGCAAACAGGGTAGGAGGGCTGAGGTTTAGAAAAAAACCACGTCCTGTGTGGAGGGTTTTGTACAAACCACTTATTTAAAGGTTCACTGTCTCTTTTAATGCTTTTCGTTCTTCAAATCTATTGTAGATTACAGGAGACCATTTGCGTCGCCTTTTCATATTATTGAAACAGTAATTTATTAAATGACAGACTCGTTTTACTTTGCATGCCTTTATTTTTGGTGCAGGATGAAATCACAGACTGATTAGAATAACTTTAATGGCTGCTGTAATTTTTTTGCTTGCAGTTCACCTAATCCAGCTAGATGGAAAAAAAATAAACACGAGTAAGTGGCATCAGATCCCTTTTATATGAATTCTCACGCCCTGTCCCAATAATTGTGGAATATGTTTTACATAAAAATGTTAGAATAGGCGTGAGATTAATTCTATGATGATTAGTTGTCTTTTGATTTTATGCCACTGTATTAAAATATGTAACAGTAGTCTAATAATGCACATGTATCTTATGAACAGCAGCCATTGAACATGTAAGTAAATTAAATTAGACTTAATTCATTAATTAGACTTTTAGACTGGGGCAATGTCTTTATTCAAATAATAATTGAATCAAGTGAGGCTACTGTCTAGAAAACAGCCAATAATGATGAAAGGTCTGGTTTTGACCAAAATGTAATTTTTCTGCCAGTAATGTTATCTGACTTTTCTATTTTAAGAAAACATAAATATATTTTAGCGAAAGATTTGGAAATTATTTTATTACTTTCATTATTACTTTCAGCTTGCAAAGATCGTGTTTGATAAGGAGCCAGTTTATCAGACCTGGAGCTAAATGCAGTCACTCTGCTTTACACCTTGCTAGCTCACTGTGATTTTGCTCAAACAATAAATGTCATGATTTGACAAACTTTTGGGGATAGCTGCATGCCGTCGAGAAATGGGCATGAGCCTAATCAATTCAGTTTGTAATCAGATACCGATGGCTGATGCACATGGAAAGAGCGCTTATGAACTCTTATGGGCTCTAAATAATCACGATCAACTCAAACATTAGTAATAATTGTTACAATAATGTAATAATTGTAACAGATCTGTATTAGAGGATTGCAGCTGCAGTATGTGTGCCAACACACACACACACACACACACACAGAGCCACTTCCTTTCACTTGAGCGCACCTTTAAGCATGAATGATATGCTCAGGGACATGCTGCTTACACTACACTAATGCACACTTTCACACTTTCCCTCGATTGCTCAGGGGAGTGACATGTAGAGTTGGTCAGAGGTTCATTAATTAAATTAGCAGCTGTAGAGCTGTGGGACAGAAGTGCTCTGGGGTGATGTGGGTAAACGCTGCTCTTGCTGATTTGCACCAACAGGCCTGGTAGCTACTGCTCAGTGAGAATTACTCCGCTCCTTATTGGACACGCCACAGCTCAAAGGCATGTTTCAGCCTAAGTTTAAAAAAAAATAAAAATAAAAAAGTACCTATTGATGCATCTTTAACCAGGCTAGTAACCCTTACGAAAAAAAAAAAATTGCCATGAGATCTTGAATGAGATTTCCCTAGTTTGAAAATGGAAAACCTCTGTTTTGGAGGTGGTAGTAAATTTGTATGATTTTATTTTATTTTATTTTATGACTGCTATTGTATTTATTATCCTACACATGAATGGTTAGCAGTGGTTGCTGGGTATTTTAGCACCAGTTCGTTGATCAGCAAACAAACACAGAGGCTGAGAGGTGCAATACTGCCCAGCAAAATATTATCACAGTATGACACGACAAGCAGCATATAAAATGCTAGGTTTATGCCTGAATTTCTCATGATACCGCTTCATCGTTGTTTCGCTTTCTTTGCTTTATCTTTTCTCCACCTCTCTATCTTTCTCTTCTTTTTCAAGGATGGCTTGGTGAAGTCAGACATGGAGAAGTTGACATTCTTTGCGGTATCTGCTCCAGAGAAGCTTGACCGTATAGGAGAGTATCTTGCCGAACGCCTCAGCAGGGACGTGGTCCGACACCGATATGGGTGCGACACACACGCACACACTCATAAAACCAGTGTGCATATACCATGCTGTTATATACTGTACATGGAGCTGTACATGAGCTGTATGACTAAGTGTGTGTGTGTGTAGGTATGTGGTGATTGCAATGGAAGCACTGGATCAGTTGCTGATGGCATGTCACTCACAGAGCATTAAACCCTTTGTGGAGAGCTTTTTGCACATGGTGGCAAAGCTGCTGGAATCCAAGGAACCAGACCTGCAAGTGCTGGGGACCAACTCCGTAAGTGTCAAGTTGCGGTGTGCAGATAAATGTACCAACATATCAAGATGCTTTCTCGATATATTGAGTGAAGAAGGTGTTGAAACAAAAGAAGAACTACAGCTTATAAGCTACAAGCTCGCAGTGGTCTCTAGAATGACATTTCCCAGTTTGAAAATGGAAAACCTCTTGATGACATATGTTAGAGGTGGTAATAAATTTTATGATCTAGGGCAGATACCTGAAATAAGCACTACTCATGTTTTTTTTTATACATCAATGGCTATCAGTCAGGATTGGTTGATCACAGCAGGGATTCCCAGTGGTTGATTAATATTGTCGTTGTTCGTCTTTTGGCTGCTCCCATTAGCTGCCATAGCGGATCATTGGTCCGCGTATTTGATTTGGCCCAGTTTTATGCCGGATGCCCTTCATGACGCAACCCTCCCCAATTTTATCCAGGCGTGGGGCAGGCACTGAGAGCGCAACCCCAGTGCATGGTTCCCTGGCTGGGAATCGAACCCGGGCCGCAGCAGTGAGAGCGGTGTAGCCTAACCACTAGTCCTCCAGGGACCCCCTCAGTGGCTGATTAATGTATACTGGGTATTTTAGTGCCAGGACATGAATCAGCAAAAAAATTGTCAACACTGAAATCTCATTCATTTGAATTATCAAATTTATCATTAATCGACACTAATTAATCATTAGTGTAATGCGTAAGTAAAATAACACTAATTAAATCAATATTAAGAAGAGCAGATTGTAGTTATTTTGCAGAAGGAATTTGCACAGAGAGCAGTGATGCTTAAAAGTATACAGTCGATCCATTGTTTGGAAGAAAAAAAAAAACTAATGAGCCTAAAATTCATCCTGGGTAAAGGCTCTAGTATTGGATCCAAGTGTGGAAACACAGCCCAAAGATTTAGGCATGCACCGATAGTTGATTAGCCTACATAATGCAATATTCAACAGGAGTAATACAGACAGAACAAGTCCAACTTGACGCCAACAGCTTCCGCCATCAAGTCTGGTCCTCCTTGGTAACATTTAACCACCTGTTCTTGAGATATTGCGCTAATGATAATCTCCAATGGATGGGCAGACAGACATAAAAAAGCACTCTGAGGAGAGGCAGAGAGAAATAGTGAGAGACACGGTGAGACAAAAGGGGGAAAGATCACTCTATGTTAATGCCCTTCGTCTGTATTCTTGGTCAGATTTAGTTCAGAGGGATCTAAAATAGCGCTTCTGGATGGGGAAAGAAGCTGCATAATTTAACGGTGAATGGAAGGTGTGTGTGTGAGAGAGAGAGAGAGAGAGAGAGAGTAAAGTCAGGGTAAAGTGCTATACAAATTAAATTGCAGAAAAGAAAGGAGCAGAGGAGAGAAAGGAAGGACTAAAGGAATTAACAGCTAGATGGGCTGATGGTATGAAATGCGCCACTGAGAGAATTCTGAAGCGCTGATGTGTTTACGCTTTCTTTTTCAGAATTTCTAGACTTTATATTTCTTTTTTTTTATTGTGAAACTCTAACCCTTCCAGTCTCTGCCTCGAATCACCACCTTCTTGGGCTGAAGCAGACGCGCTAAAGCCTGGAATCACTGAGTAGCACATTGGTATCATGTGAACCTGGAGTTTTCTCCAGTAATGTTGGAAGAGCTTGGAGACATTTTCTCTCCGTGTCATGTGGAAACTAAAAGGAAATCTAAAGGCTGCGACCAGGGAAAACATATCAATTATAAATAAACACCATCAAATATTAATGGCATTATAAATAGAATAGGATGGGGAAAAAATCCCAGGTTGTAGCTCTGGAGGTGCATTCCTGAAAGCAGGATTAATACGTTTCGAAATGAAATGGTCCGAGATTTTCCTTTTCCAAATGCAGATTAGACAAAATCCAGATCAGTTACCCTGACACCTCTCCGACAGCTCTGTCACTGACCTGGTAAATGATGAGTTAAGCACATCATCATCTGTGTTTTTAAATATGCTTATTAAAAACCTTATAAAATATCAGTGAAATTATATCCCAGTGTATAGACTTGTCTGGTGGAATGTTGTTTAGTAAATATAATATTGGTAGATTGCTGGCCTTGGAACATACAAGATCCCATAAAAATGTCTTATTAGAGAAAATTAATATACACATTGCATTACTGTACTCACCATTTTGCAGCAGAATCGGCTTCATGTTTAGCATTTTGAGTGGCAATTTCAATAATAAGCTTATGGTATCATTGTAGTTTAGGTTACTATGGTCTGTACAGCTTTAAATCTATAATATGTATTTATATGCGTATTTAAAAAAAATCATCATTAATGGAAAAAAATAAGCCTATGTCAGTGTTGCACTTTCGCCCTCTCTCTCATTTGTGTGAAAGAGGGCTTCGGTTTGTTCAGTTTAATATTTACGTTTATGTCCGGCATTATTAAAAGTAAACAGACAGCATTAGGGTAATGCAAAAAATATAACACATACTGTATAGTCCAGAAAATATCAGTAGTGGACAAGGGGCATTTAAAAAAATAATAAATAGTACAGCAGTGTTCAAAGGTTTGATTTAGTTTATAAAAAGTAATAGTGAGATGTAATTCATTACACAAACACACCCACACACACACACACCCACACCCATAGCAAAGCCTTTCAGACGGTGAGACAGAATGAAGGAGTAGAGAGATCTTGGGAATTCATGATCCTCTAAACACACACACCCGCACAACTTCGCACATAGCTGCGAATCACACGTGTGCCTCTGCTGTGAGATCTCACCTCTTCTCTGTCTGGCAGAGAGAATTTCCTCTCATTAATGAACTCTTTTTCTCATTTTCCAACTGTGTGTGTGTGTGTGTGTGTGTGTGCGCGCATAGATGTGTTTGGAAGTCATTTCTTGGTTAGAGTTTAATATTTCACAGATTTGTAACTGTTTGTGGGTTGTTTTTTTTTCTCTTGTCACAGTTTGTGAAGTTTGCGAACATTGAGGAGGACACCCCTTCATATCATCGGCGTTATGATTTCTTCGTCTCCCAGTTCAGTGCCATGTGCCATTCCACACATGAAGACCCGGAGACGCGCACCAGGTGTGTGTGTGTGTGTGTGTGTATGTGTGTGGTGTGATATGCACGTAAATGTTCCTCCTAGCGTAATTTTCAGGTGTGTTGCTTCAGTAGCAATATTTGGGAGCACGAGGGGAAAATTGGCATTGAAGCGATTGTGAAGCACAGCCTGAATGTGCCTGTTTGTGTCTATATTTGTGTGTGTGTGTGTGTGTGTGTGTGTGTAGAATCCGTGTAGCAGGTATCAGAGGGCTGCAGGGAGTCGTAAGGAAGACAGTGAATGATGAATTGCAGGCAATCATCTGGGAACCTCAGCACATGGACAAACTCATTCCCTCCATGCTCTTCAACATGCAGGACAATGACGACTTGGACAGGTATACACACACACACACACACACACACACACACACACACACACACACACGTCATAGGAGTACACTGGGACTCGGGAGTAGCGGGAGCAGACTATTTTTACCTTCCAGCAAAGCATGAAGCTCATAGGACAAAGAAAGACAACTTTGATTAACATGGGAGTGAGCTGAGTGCTCGTGCGGTGCTGTGTAATCCTGGTCAGGGTCACTGTGGTTTAAAGTCTTTTATATTTTAGGAAAAAGAACCAATGAAGTTTGTTAGAAGTGGCGGGACTTGATGAGGAACGTCTGAGTATTACGTCTGTAATGAGAGGGAAAAAGAAAGAAAACAGTCCACTACACACACCAACCCACCCAATCCATATTAGTTAACACACACTCAGTCATCCATACTCTTCACATGCAGGATAACAACAGCGTGCATAGGTGCACGCACGAGCAAAACGGATGTATAAAATAAACATTACACACAATGAGTCACATTTTCCAGTCAAATATTTTCCCTAAAACAAAAAAAGGGCATTCTCATAAGAACTACTTGTTTAATGACATGATTAAAAACCTGGCAACATTACTGAAACCTCCAATGAATATTTAAAACAAATGCAATACGCAAATTGCCTTAGAACAATTGTATGCATTTTAACAAGGGTCTCAGGATCCAGAATAAAGTCTCAGACATCTTGAATTGTCGAAAAGCTGCCAGGAATGATTAAAAACAGAACCCTGAGATCAGTTTTAGGATGTCACAGCTTCGTTGGTGCTTGGGGTTGCCAGTTTTAGATGTCATTTCCATAAGCTTTTTGGGAAAAGCTGCAGAAAAGAAGTCATTCCTGAGAGCTACCAACAAAATGCAGCCCCTTAACTCCATCAAGTGTTATTAGATGTTGCGAGATTGATGACATCATGAATTCTGCTAAGCACCAGCATATTTTAGCCCAAATCCTGGTTGCTTTTGCCAGGAGGTTGAAGCCTGATTTATGCTTCCACTTGAACAGGCTCCTGCTGCTTTTAGTGTGTAAGAAAGGCACTTCAGTTGGGGCTGTTTGGAAATCCCTGCCCACCCTGCTCCACAGTTACTGGTCAGTAGAGAGGCGTGAAGGACTGGAGGTGTGTCTGACACCCTCTCCTCCTCAAATACATCTATGTGCCGGGTTGTAGTGAATCTATCAGTTTAACTGCATTTCCCATCGAGAGTTGGAAGCTTTGTTCCTTTTTAAGTAGTTTCAAGTAGTTTCCACTGAAATTGTTTTATTGACCAAGTAGCAGAGATAAATGCTACATCAATTCTCTACATATTTTTGAACTGATGGATAAATGTAGAACATGAAATGACAATTTTTGCTACTCTAATTAAAATACTTCAAGAGGTTGGTGAGATGGAGCCGCTTTTCTCTGACAAGTCATCATAGTGAACTTTTTCTTATGGAACCAGTGTTTAGGGACACTTTATTAAGAGCACCTGCAGACCTACTCATTCATGCTATTATCTAATCAGCCAATTGTGTGGTAGCAGTGCAATGCATAAAATCATGCAGATACGGGCCAGCAGCTTCGAGTAATCAGAATGGGGTAAAATGTGATCTCAGTGATTTTGACAGTGGCATGGTTTGAGTATTTCTATAACTGCTGATCTCCTGGGATTTTCGCACACAGCACGAGTTTAGTCAGACTGGTGCATTAAAAAAAAAAAAAAAAACATCCAGTGAGCGGCAGTTCTGCGGACGGAAATGCCTTGTTGATGAGAGAGGTTAACGGAGGACGGCCCGACTGGTTTGAGCTGACAGAAAGGCTACAGTAACTCAGATAATGACTCTGTACAATTGTGGTGAGCAGAAAAGCATCTCAGAGTGCACAACATGTCGAACCTTGAGGCACATGGGCTACAGTAACAGCAGACCACATCGGGTTCCACTTCTATCAGTTAAGAACAGAAAGCTGAGGCTGCAGTGGGCACAGGCTCGCCAAACTGAACAGCTGAAGACTGGAAAAATGTAGCCTGGCCTGATGAATCTCGATTTCTGCTGAGGTACACAGAAGATAGGGTCAGAACTTTTGCACCCACAGCATGAATCCATGGACCCAACCTGCCTTGTGTCAATAGTCCAGGCTGGTGGAGGTAGTGTAATGCTGTGGGGA